TCCTTAAAAAAATCTTGAACTTAGTTTTTAAAAAAGTAAGTGTGGGATTTGCTTCCCCTTACTGGTAAAAGGAATAGAAATTCATGTGATCGCAAAGTGTTTGATCTTAAAGTGAAAATCACTAACTGAGCCTCAACAATTTTCATTGCTTTTAAATTTGGCTCTTTAATCCGAAATAATTTTCCGTGGATTGTAAAACTGAAGTGTTTTTCTATTATTTTCCTGATAAATAGACCAAGTTTCACCAACTGATATTGCATTAGCCCCCTAAACCCTATTCCAGTAATACAGCTCTATAATTTCTGTTGGTAACAGCAGATACCATTTTCCTAGGAAGCGAATACAAAAGTTGTCGTTACGCTCTAGTTTGTCGGAATAAGCTCAGAAACTTCACATTTATGTCTATAGATGGTTGATTCATTTTATCAATATGTTCATATAAGTTCATTTTTCGAAAAATAATTGGAATCTAAAACGTGACATTTAAAAAAAATGACTCGTATAGAAAAACAATGTTTCCAGAAAACGGGTGATACAGAAAAATATGAGGAAATGGTTGTGGCAAACATGCCCAGTATGGGAAGAAATAATGATTTAGGGGATACTAAAGCGATGAAATAGTTATAGGAGAGGATGGAGAAGCCAAAAATGCCTACAACGTAAAATCCATAGTTTTGAGCCGAATCGGGACTTTCAGGGTGCCCCCCCCCCCTTAAATAATATTCATTTCAATTTGTCAGGTCACTGATTTTCTTTTTAAAAAATGTGAAAGTAAGATCAAGGGTTCCTGATTGTTGAACAAATACCGGCACCGTAACCAAAGAGGTATATTATGGTAAACCTGTGTTCATAATCAACAAATACATACATACTGCCCGTTTTTTATCCTGACAAGTAAACCCACATGTTATGACCCTGATAAATTGAAAGAGAACATGTATCATTACAAAATTAGAAATCGCATAATATGTCAAAAAATCACAAAATACCACTTAATAACGTAGATACAGTCACCTGCTCAGGGTGCCTAAGTCACCCCGACTATGTCAATGGACACAGGGGTGACTAAGGCACCCCCCCTGCCAAAACCTTGCCTTACGTATTTTCTTTCAAATACACACGTTCTATGGCTCATGTGACTGTCTAAGAGCCTAATACTCACCTTAAAACATTTTGAAGTGCAATAGATTAAGAGGTACTCCTAAAAGTTTGAAGGAATCTTGCAGAGGTCGATTTCAAATGCAGGCGACAGCCGTCATAAAACAACCTCGGGTCCTCAGAAAATTGTTCCGGTGAGATATTTTCAAGTAAATACACCACCAATTAATCCCACTTTTAGATAACGCATTTCAGAATGACTAAAAATCACTTTTGAAGTCGAAAATATCATCTTAAAATTATCAGAACATTACCCCCAGTTACCTGCCTTAGTCACCCCGGGGTGCTACGCTTCCAAACATCAGCCTTTGCGTCAAGCAATATAGTACACCCTGTAGCTAAATCTTTCAGACAAAGTATCAATTATCACCACGTCCTACCATTTGTAGCCGTTGTTGTTTCTTTCGAATACTTTACAATGAAACAGTCATGGCTAATCATTTATTAAAATATTAAGAAAGCTGGGAAACACGCGGGGAAAGAAAATGGACATATTGTTACCCTCGTAGTATGATTTATTCACGAGGTACGCCATTTGTAACTAGCATAATGTCTAAATTTTCTGTTAGGCATTTAGAATAGCTAAAGCAGAGTCTCTCTAGGAGATTGATCCTCGCGAATGTTGTAATTTAGCCTCCATTGTAGGATCTGTCAAGGGAGGTGATAATTATAACTAATATTACAGGGACATTGAACATGGACATAAAGAGAGCATAAAAGAGAAAACCGGACTATGCGAAATTCAGAAGTTTCGCGACACCATTTGGATGCGGACGTGACATCCTCTTCCTCTGTTATTTCTCAGTATGAAGTTAAACTTTTTATTCTTTCAGTTTTGAAGATTTTTGTTGTCAGTCAGGAAAGCACCATAATTGGGGGCCGTTAAAAAATATGCTATGCCCCTCATCACGGTGCTGTATAAATGGTCCGCTGTGTTTCAGACAAGAATTTATTTTAAAGATAAGCATACTCACAATTATATTATATTTGGATGACAAAACAGAACCCCAAAAGGAAAAAAAATAAAATAAAAACAACCAAAATAAAAAATAAAAACAAAAACAAACTAAATTACGAAAATAAAATAATCTAAGAACGATACAATAACAAAGACGACGACAACAACACACACACACAAAAAACCAAGATGAAAAACAAACAAACAACAGATTTACAATTTTTACTTCTCCTTTTCCAGTCTTCTATTTTGTCGTTTGATGGAATTTATGTTATCTTCATTGGTGCTATTTCTGGAAAAGGTCGAATTGAAGTGTCCTTGTCATTGTGTGTAGACGTTTTTGTGTGACTCCGTGGTGACATCAGACGTTCGACAAATGACTAGCTAATATTTTTCCACCTATTGGGACACTTAGATTATTAACAATTTTTGTAGTTTTTTTTCGGCCCAACATCTTTTACGTGCTTTTTAAAATATGTTTACATGGATTTTTCTGAAAAACTTTGATCAAAGGAAATAATTTTAGGAATCTTGTAGTTTCCAAGGACATTAAAACTTTGGACATCATCAAACTTTGGTGACCAATTTCTCGTTAATTCTACTTCTGATACCAGGTGACCTCTACCTCCTTCAACGGTCAATAGTCGCGAGCGCCGTAAAACTCCTACTAAAACAAACAACTGTCAATGTCGCGACTTCTATTCAAGCTAGACGGGCATATAAAAAAAATTAAAGCAAGGCAAAGGAGCACGCTGTAAAAATAACATGCCAATAACTCTACGTACCCAAAAACTGACGAGCGCCTAATTCCACTTCACACAAATAATTATAACTATTTTGTCGCACATGGATTGTGTGTCAATGGACCAGCGCAGTATCGTCTAACCATTATAAAGTGCGGTAAAAAAATGCTACCTCAGAACTACAAAGTTATACCTGCTCAGTGCCTAGTTTTGAAAAGTATGATTTCAAATATTTTGAGGTTCACAACACGTCAAACACTTTGGAATGCAATTCATCTAATATCTTGATAACGGCTCCAAATGATCTTACAATATTGACAGAGCAGCTAGAACATTAATTTGGTTTCTGACCTCATGGTCTTAGTAACTCAAAACGACCAAAAACATAAGCTAGAACCTTGTAATTCTGGTGTAGCGAACTCTTTGCGCAACTTATCCTCAAATATCTCTTTAACGGGTAAACCAATGTCACCCATACTTTGAACAGCAGTTTGTATCAATCTGTCTTAACTTAATCATATTATTTTTACACAACAATTGAGGTTAGATTTTTTTTTAAATAACGTTCGTCAGAAATGTATGTTTATTATCTCTGCAGAAAATGGGATTGTTCACAGCCGTTTCTGCTTCTTACACACATTTTGCATATTATGCATATGGCCTAAGTCATTACTAACAAAAAACACTTTTTTGGGGGCCAAAAACCTGTTAGAAGAAATGAATTTCATGGTGAACACTTTTTTGCAAGGTGATCAAAACATGTGTTCAATACGCATAATATGGCAATTTGAAAAAAAAAAAGACGGACTTGCTTAAAAGAAACAACATTGCCATAGCTGTAGATCTAACCATTTTAAAAATCTGTAGAAACTGCTCACTTGGATTTTAATTAGTATTTATTAAGGCATTTTCAGGAATACAGCTTACAGGTATTTGCAAAAATATTAATCTGATGAGGCATTTTGATATGAAGCCATTGTACAAAATCGGGAGAGTCTGTGTTCGATAGTTGAGGTAATATTTGACAAAAAGTTTCGCTACGAATATTTGACCGCACTACAAGTGTCACGACACGGTGAATTGAGGCGCTTGTCAATTTCAAGCATAATACGGAGTTGTTTGTAGCATCTCAAAGCTTGCTTTTTTGCTTTGCTTCTGGTGAAAAAGTTAACTTCTATCTTGAATAGAAATCGATATATTTGCGATTGAAGGAGATGGGGGTTGCTTGGTTTGAGGAGTAGGATTAGCGAGAAAATGACGACAAAAACCTGAGTACCACTGGAAACTTCAAAATAACATTTGTTGTGCCTTCGATCATCGTGTCTCAGTAAAATCCAAACAAAGGTATGTTTTTTAATGGACATAAACGGTTGTGATCCAAAATAAGTAAATTCTTTAAAAATTGCCAAACCTGCGGAAAAATACCAGTTTTTAAACATTTTATTATTCAAAAACCGCCTGGTCTCACTAAAAAGTCTCATAATAGGAATCTGTATCTACCCAGGAAGTTACAAATTATGTAACAACTAAATGTATAGTGACCCAGAAAATATTGTTGATGTCTCAAGCTCGTGTCAAGGCCTTTTGATTGAAGTGCTCAAAACCAGTTTTCAAGTCCTTATCGATGTGTTCCCTGTAATGTAACAGCAACAATAGCAACAACAACAACAACAACAACAACAACAACAATAATAATTTAATAATAATAATAATAATATAAATAATAATGATAAAATAACAGCAATAATAAACATAAAATAACAGCAACAGTAGCAACATCAATAACAGTAGAAACAGCAACAACAACAATAACAACAGCAACAGCAACAATAACAACAACAACAACAACAGCAACAACAACAACAACAACAAACAACAATAACAACAGCAACAGTAGCAACAACAACAGCAACAACAGCAACAACAACACCAACAACAGCAGCAGCAAAATCAAAATTATAATTGTTCGGAAAAACATATCTTCCAGTTAATACCTAGATAGTATTTTCATTCTCTGAAGAGAAGTCAGGGAGATTCAGTAGCGTGACTTAGGTTAACAACTCGCATTTTACTTTCCATTTCAGCCACGACGGATAATGCTGCTGATTTACCCAATGACACGCATACTGTTTCCTCTTGCGATGGGACTCGCAGTCATGCTCTCCCTAAGATGTGACGATTCCTCCAACACTGTGTTCTCGCGAGTGGAATGTTTTGCAGAATCTTGTGGTATAAGAGAACTCACCCTTGGTGTGAAAGGACTTCTTGATTGCGCTCGATGGTGCAGAACGGACGCTTCCTGTATTGGCGTCAGTGCCGGGCATACCACGACCCCTGGTGGCGGGTGGGATGATGACGTGGAAGGAGACTGCTACATCCATAGAGACTGCAATGATGTTTCCAAGGACTGCAGTAGTTTCACGGGGGTGTCTGGTCTTTATTATAATTTAACAGGTACAGAACCTGTAGTAGCAACAATATTGAACAAGTGTCAAAATGGTGGCACCTGGGATGAAACCTCCAACCAATGTAGCTGTGTGGGTAGTTGGGCAGGCCTTCGGTGTGAACGCTACCTCCGCAATTGTTCCGAACTGATTGAGCTGGGTTTTGGAATTGGAGAGCACCTTGTACAAATTCAACCTGAGTTTTCCGATCATCCTGCTCGCATTGTTTGTGACATTCAAAAAAAGAGTATAAATACTTATGTTGCCAAAAGTACAGGGGACTTTGAGGGAGACAAAACCTGGGAGGAATATGAGAATGGATTTTTCAATGACATCAACAACTTTTGGATAGGTTTGAAAAACCTTCATTTATTGTTTCACACTGAAAAAAACAGGATGGTCTATGCTGCAAACTTCTCAACTGGCTTGCTTTGGAGATCGTATCCTGAATTTTACGTTGGGAACTCAAGTACCAACTATGAACTCACTGCAGGTCGCGGTACATTTTACAGGAAGGGGAATGCAACTTTAGGCGAAGGAGGGAGACTACTGGACTGTTTCACGTTTGCCAGTGGGATGCCGTTTTCAACACATGATGCGGAGCATTGCAACTGTGTGCCAAAAACATGCGCATCACGGGCAGGAGCGGGCTGGTGGTTCTCAGATTGTGATATACGATGCAACCCTCTTGCTAGGAAGTACGAAAATCGGCGGCAAAGCTATGCAGAAGATCGAATACACTTGGACAATCTGAACTTGTACGATTCTACATACGCAGAGAACTTTCAGTATGTTAGTCTCTCCTTTCGTAAACGGGCTGACTAAGGCACAGTTTAAAGCTTCTTCTAAACTTTATGATTTGAAAAAGTAAATATTTTGGAGTTCAAAGTAGGAGAATGGTTGATTAGTATTCATTAACATCCTTAGGGAATAGAATACCTCAAATGGGGGTAACCAAGACATTCTACGAGTAGCTGTAATGTACCATTGTATCTCGTTCAAGATATATAATTAAATATATATAATATATATATATACGCCCCCAGGGAAGTGCTAATGACTGAAGTGTCTTTAGGTCATTCCCAAAGATAAACATGTTCTTATGCACAATGGAATTGTAAATGGGCTGCTTTATCAATGTCATGCTCATGCTGTGCAGGAACAACATAGTGGGAACTTTATTTCCTCATCGTTACTATCGTCATTTTTCCTTTCTTTGTTTTACGCAGTAAATCTATTTACAAATTGGTGCGATAACCACTTCCTTTTACTAAATATAAAAAAGACAAAGGAATTGATAATACTTTAGAGAAAAAAAAGTCCAAGTGCAACCACTATTTATTAAAGATGAAGAGGTGGAGGTGGTAAGCTCTTACAAGTATCTTGGTGTAACAATCGACAACGAACTTGACTGGCATCCCCACGCTGCTCTTGTGCAAAAAAAGTAAATCAAAGAATGTTTCTTTTAAGGAAATTAAGAGGTTTTCGTGTTGACTATAAGATTATGTCCCTTTCTTACCATTCTATGATTGAAAGTGTACTATTATTTTGCATTTGCTGCTGGGATGGGAATTGTAAGGTGAAAGATAAAGAAAAATTTGACAGAATCATTAAGAAAGCCAGCAAGGTCTCTGGATATGATTTTATAGAATGGATGAAATGTATAACACCACACGTGTAACAAAGATAAAAAGCATAATAAACAACCCATCACACCCCTTTTCCACACAAATTGTCAGATCACGCAGCGGCAGACACGTACCTCCAAAAACAAAGAAAGAAAGATATAAAATAAGTTTTTTACATTCTAGCATAAGGCTTTTGTCAGAATGAGCATAAATGTGTGTTGTTCTTAGAGTATGTATCTATATATAACTCCAAAGGTCTAGTATTTAAATTCCTGCTCATGGTTTAATGATGAATTTGAAGTAAATGTACACTTTGTCAGCTTTACTTCTCTTTTCATATTGAATTTTAATGAGAGTAATATATAAAATTAATTTTTTTAAATGTATACTTGCATGTGTTTTTACGGTCCTGAACAGCCAATGAAAATTTCCCTCTGGGATAATAAAGCACTATCTTATCTTATCTTATCTTATCTTATATGCTTGTCATTCTCTTGAGAACTCCTATTTCTGTGGTACTTTGATAGTCGAAGCAGACTTTGTGGTGTTGAGGTTAGAAAGGTTAGTTGAGCAAGGCTGATTCCCCGTTTGGATATCTCTGTTGCTATCCACCCCTTGTCATAAAACGGTGCTAAATATATATATATATATATATATATATATATATATATATATATATATATGTGTGTGTGTGTGTGTGTGTGTGTGTGTGTGTGTGTGAGAGAGAGAGAGAGAGAGAGAGAGAGAGAGAGAGAGAGAGAGAGAGAGAGAGAGAGAGAGTGTGTCTCATCTCATTTTTTGTGGATAACCAGGTTTCATGATGTCCATCAAAAAGTACATTTTTAGTGCGGCTTTTACTGGAAAAATCAATATTAATCGAAAGCAGAAAAGACCCTGTAAATTTTCAGTTTCTAAGGATACTCACACTTTAGAATGTAGTAAACTTCGGCAGTAATTTTCTTGCTTATTTCACCTCTGATACCAGGCGAGAGCCGTTTCTTTCAATCACAAATAGTTAAATTTAAAAAAAACAATACATGTATATAGATCTAGGTATTTTTTCATCAGAAACAAGATAAATGAGCAAGATTTAAAACGATAACTTTGACACCATTCAGGCCTAAAAACAAGAAGGGCGCCCGATTCCACTGCGAGACAATGTTTTGCTAGCATACTGTGCTCCCAACTTGTTGCTACTTAAAATTTTAGTTACCGGCCTCTTGTGTGCAGTGGTTAAGGACTTCGATGTCGTACGCAGAAGATCCGAGTTCGATTCGGTCGTTGAGAGATTTTTTTCATCAAGTTTCTCGGTCTGGCTGCACCGGGGAACAGCGACAGCTGACGTCATTTCACCGGGGAACAGCGACCGTGGAACAGCGACTAGTATTTTACTATGTTTCTTTGTTACAGTTTAAATTGCTGTAATCGCCTTCACTATCAAATACAGATAGACCACATGTGTTACATTTCGTCTCGATTTTCAAGTTTTAAAAATGGGCTTATTGGACTAATGGCTGGCTTTAAAACCGAAGCTTGTTCCCTCACACTGTTGTTATGAGATTTTTATGTTTTCTTTTGTTTTCAGCCACAAAGTTTTTTGTTCCATCTTGATTAAACTTAACTGTTTGCAGAAAGATGTCCACAAACATTCGGGAAATCTGTTGGTCCCTACATCTTTTGACCAATTATCCATACTGTACACTGTACAGTGACAGTGCAGTGTGCAGTGTGAAGGCCAAGCTGCTGTGACGTCAGATGCATAATGCGATGGGTGGCCTCTACACATGTTTTCAAATTCAAAATTGACACTTCAAAGATAAAGTTTGCTAAAGTTTAGATAATTGGCATCAAATCAGGTTTCACGCGAACCACTTTGATAATACGTTGATTCCGATTAAGAAATCAGTTTTTGGCTACGATAATTATTTTTAAAATTCTGCGAGCAAAGTCTGATCCCACCCTGCGCCTAACTTCAAGGGATTCGCCTCTCCCAATTCTAACAGTAAGGGGTCTATAACAAGATACGTTTAAACTGACAGTTGTCCTTCCTCGTTGTGATAGGAAACTACTGCATGATGTATTCTTGATCAAATAGTTCTTTTTTTTCAATCTTCTAAATCCAGCAAGAAATAGAGTCACTCGAGAGTCATGTTGTTAATTCTGATACGCTGGTTCCGAATTTGACATTATTTTTATGATAGAACGTAGCATGCAAATGCAATAAGTTTATAAACAAAATGCTACTCTCGGCGGGCAGCATCGATACCATGATCAGTATCACCCAGACGAGGTATTTGCTTAAAGCTGTCACTGTCCCCCCGGGAAGAATTTTTCTCTGTTTTTTAAATCAAAGTCGTTGTGTGCCCAGTGCTCCGCTTGGTCTTTCTTCTGAGACGACATTTAAGTTCAAGAAAACTCTGTTCTTTGTGTTGTCAAATAATGAAATTTAAGAAACAGCCACCCCCCTCCGCCCATTCCAGTCCTTTTTATCGACTTTTTTGCCTCCACATATTTTTACGTTCACAGTTAATTAGAAAAGGCATTTCAGTGTCGATTTCTTTAAATGTGAGGCAGCGTGGTGGAATCAGGCTCTCGTCAAAATGATCAAAGTGAAGAAACTTGCATTTTTCCTCAGGTTTGTGAATTTGTATCAAATTTTTGTTTTTTGACTCAACACCTTTCATGTCCATTAAAGAACTCATTTCTGTGTGGATTTTTCTTTAAGATGTTAATTAAAGGACCGAAAAATGTAAATTTTCAGTTACCACGGACTATTAAGCTAAGGAAATAACTAATCTGTGGCGGCCATTTTCTCACTAATTTTACCTCGGAAAACAGGTGACCCCCCCACCTCATTCATTCGCAAATATCTCGACTTGTATTCAAGATAAATGGATACTTTTTTCATTCAAATAAAGACAAATGAACAGGCTTTTAGGTGACACCGGTAACTCTACATGCCCAAAAATTGACGAGTGCCTGATTCCACCCCGCTGCCTCACTAATAGTAAGAACGTTGAACAAAGGCACCCCCACACACCTAAATCTGCAGTTTCCAAGGACATTCAAGCCGTGGAGATCACCCAACCTTGGGGGCCATTTTCTCGCTATAATTTTACCTTTGACACACGGCAACCCCATCTCCTATAATCGCAAACATCTCGACTTCTATTGAAGATAGATGGGTGCATTTTTAAAGTCAAACTTGAGACAAATTAACAAGCTTGAAGATGATGACAATAACTTCATATGCCCAAAATCTGACTAGCGCCTGATTCCACCGCGTTGTGACACAATAATTGTTTTGAATAGTTATTTATGTCAGCGTTTCTCTGTAATCTTCATAATACGCAGTGGGTGTTTTACTTGTATGTTGAACTCCATTCGTTGTCCGCTAAGACAGTGCTATTTTGAGGACATGAAACTTCACCAACGCTTCCAAAGTTACTGAAAGTGTTGTATTCGAATACCGTGTGAGAATGTTTCCTTCTTGTCATACCAATGATAGTACATAACAAGATGGGCCACTTCTCTCTTTGAGCCAATTAAAAAAGTGTCCTCAAAATTTGGTGGCGCCCTCTTCACAAAAGCGCACTCTTTGCGAACAGAGTTACCCTACTTGAGTTTTAAAAAATCAAAGTGAAACTAGCAAGTTTTGGGATAAATTTCGGAAGAACGCTTTTAAAAAATGGTTACGCTGGCAAAAAACCTCTTCCGGAGGAAAGGGTGATGGTTTTCTTCGTTTAATTTGACTTTAGAATGAAAGGCGAGAGGTCATTAAAATTTAAAAAAACTAAAACTCCGCACTGAACGTACCCGAACTGCTGATGAACAGCAGTCGATCTGCGCACGCAAGGAGGTGCTATTCCTATTCTTCTTCTGGAAAAACGAAAGAGAGCTTCAAAACAGACTGCAGCGCCATCTGAAGCAAAGAGCATACTTCCTGCGGACACTTTTTTGGCTGAGTGGCCCATCTTGTTATTCACTATCTTTGGTCATACTAATGTTATACCATACATGGAGTTGTTTTAGCATTGAACTTCTGGTGAAATAAATCTGGTAAATAACTTCGCCTTCTAATCTTCTGCAAAACAAAGTATAGACTCGAATCATAATATTCCTAGACGGTGCATTGTTATGGTAGCGCTCTTTGTCCTCTAAATGCTTCGTTGCAAAACAAGGTCACAATAGGCGTCC